ATCAATAAGCCCCTCAATTGTTTACTATTGGAAAAAATGTAAGAACCGAAAATTGGAACAAAATAGTAAAGATAGTATTGTTTCTAAAAAGACAAATATTTTTGGTCAATAGTCATTTAAAAGGAACACAAAAGAGAGAATGTACAGGAAAAGGATTGTCCTTTTTATTAAGTGTAGGCAGCCCATTTACAACCTTTATACGTATGGCAAATGTCGATTGCTTTTGCTATCTTCTACAATTAAACAAATAGCAAAAAAACTGGAGAAAGTAGTATACCCAATTTCGAGGACTGAAAGATTAGATTAAACGGCAAACTGTTTCTTTATTTTTGTCTTCATTGACTTTGTAAATGTCGACAGTTTGATTGTAATTGTCAGTTCCCTGTTTATGGGCGCAGTCACATTTCGGTTAATGTCTCAAGTTGTGTTACGATCCCCTCAGAGTCCAACACCCCACGTCGCATTGCGGACTGGTGAATGAGGGAGCCGAAGTATAAGCCGACTTATAAATTGCTTTAATTTAATACATCGCAACAGCGAAACTGTGGGGGATTCCCGCAGTCGCATTTTTCTCCCCAACACAACTTTGGCACGAACTCATAAATCATACAAGCGTAAACTATAAAGTTTTTTTGCACTTCTAGTAATGTTGTAAGAGAATGTTTTACAGCTCTGTATTAATCACTATTTATTATGATGGTTTTTCAAATTTAATTAATATCTAACTTACGTACTCTTAACTACGAGTAGTCCTTGTGAAAATATTTTACTTTTTAAACCTAGCTTGCTTGGCGACAAGTTAAGAATAGACACATCATCATTAGAGGCACTACAGCCGCGGGTGGGTCCTGGTCCAGTAAATATTTCCATGTCAGTCTATATTGGACTTTTTGTTTCCGTTCGTTGTTGACAAATTTGTTGCCAAATTTTTAAGATCTTCTTCGACATCTTAAATTCGGCCTTTCGCGTGATCTACGTTCCTCTGGCTGACTCTCAAATACACGCTAGGATGCTCTACGGACACTCATTCTACATTTCCAGCGCAGTTGAACACTTTTAATGACATTTGGACAATAAAATCCACACAACTAGCTTTCATCATCACCAGCTCACTATTCGTTCTCACTAAGGGTCTCGGAGTCTACCCTAAGTTTAATAATCTAATTAGCTTTATTTAAATTTAACTATAAGAAGCGATAAATTGTATCTTTTAATATCTTTTTTCTATCAACAATATCAGTCACTATATACTGAAAGTGTTGGAAAAGTTCAATCCACTCTTGTGAGTGACATCGCTTATGAAATATTGCTAGTGGCAGCGTGTTGTAGCTGACTCAAAGTGACTGTGTTACCGTCCATATAGATCACACTGATGCACTGTTCTCTACTCAAAATGAAATTACTCTCGTGCTTTCAGCGCTGTAGTGTGTCACGGATCGTAATCTTATAGTGTTGTATACAAACTAGTTAATAAATCTATTCAATAACGAACATTTTTTTAACTATGCATTGTGACTTTCTAATTGTCAATTCATAGTTTGTTAAATTCACGACTCTATATCTAAAGATTATAAAATACTGTCAAAAAGATCGTTATTTTTTTTAATGTTAGAAATTTGGAATTCAATGGATGTGGAAACAAATGTTTTGTACTGAACGTTTATAGTTTTACGGTGACAACTTCAGCTTACATTTCCAGTAAATATGGAGACGAGAAAGTACACATAGTCTGTGTAGGATCAGTTTAATTGGATCTCTGCGTCACGGCAATATCGCCGTCGGCGACGAATTACTCTTTTGTGAGCGCCAAAATACCAGAGAAAATTGACGTGAATACTACGAATGTCATACATTCTATAGTCCGTTTCATCGCTATGAATGGAAATAGGAATACTACGTGTGTAGGAAGAAACTGACTGACTAATCTCATGTTCAACTCACAGCCCAAACCAATGGACCTTGAGACTTGAAAATTTGCACACAGTTTTTACTACGTAGACGAGCGCGAAGAAAGTATTTTATATAATTCATCCCTAAAGTACTTAAGATGAAAGTGAAGTTTACTTGAAAATTACTGTAAACACTTTCCAGTACAAACAATTAACTATAAGTATTTCAGGAATTTGTTTTTCTGTTATGATCAAAGTAGGGAATAATAATTTCTGTTAGGCAAGTTCCACGCAAACGAAGTCCGGGGAAAAGCTTTGATACTGATAAATCTATTTTAAGAGAAATTGTACATTATAATTTATGATAATAAATAGCGATATTAAATCAAAGGCAGTGATAACTCAAAAACTCTTAAATTATTTCATGAAGAAGTTACTTATTTGGCTGTAAATTATGAAATAAAATATTAAAAGAAAATGTCAAGAGAACTTGAAGGCGTATGCGGTGAATATACTCGCTGCTAGAAAACTGTTCATAAGAGAAACTGATGAATGCAGTTCCTTTACAACGAAACTTAGAGAAAACCGCCTTGTAAACTTGTTGAGGATATATATTACGTCGCGAACACAATACTTGAATTTTAATGTGGTGTTTCAAACTCATACATGTGACAAATACAACTTTGTTGTAACTGTTCTTTTATTTTTTTATTATTGTGTTACGCTCCAAAACTTGCTTCAAAGGTAACACTTTACTCTTCTGTAGTAATATTATAAAGAGTTAAGATTTGTATTTATTGAAATAACTCAAAAACTACTGGGTCGATTTAAAAAATTCTTTCACCGTTAAAGAGGTACCTTATCACCGAGTAACAAAGGCTATGTCTTTTTACTATTTTTCAATTCAAGTAAGTATTTCATAATTGTGTTAGTTTGCTCTCATTGAAGTAAAGCCTTAAGTACTAACATGGACTACATCATCATACATACGTCGATGTATGTATTTTGTACACTGTTTGATAGATAAAAGAAAATCTTCCTGTTTTTATCACTTTTTTCTTTTCACGGTTTTAAAACATCTATTTAACTCTCAAATGATTAAAAATCCACGTAACTTTCATTTGTCCATCCATAACTAAGGCTTTTACGGAACATCAGCGCTTATTTTACAAATAAGCACCATAGCTGAGTAAAGGCCTTATCCATTCAGCACTCCAAAGTTGATAAAATATCTTTGCGTTTTGTTTTTTTTTTTTTGTTTGTTTTTTACATTTGCCAATTATGTAAGTGCTTCGTGTATATTCGATTATTCTGTTGTTCTGTGTTTTAGCATGTAGATGTTTTATTATTTTTATTCCCTTAATCTTTTTTACGTAATTTTACGTTCTGAATGGATTAAATGAGTTATTATTATTATTATTATTATAAAATTCTTCAGTAACCCATGTATTAAAGCGAAATGTATTTAATGGACTTGGTGTTGAGACACAAAGTCCATTCGTTAGTGTTGAGACACAAAGGCACGTGGACACAAGAAAAGATATTTAATACATAGGAGAAGGTAGCAAATGGACATCATGTCAACTTGATAGCCTTTGTGCTAACCCTTTCAATGTCATAAATGTCCATTATCTCATATGTTTGACTCACTTGAAATATTAGATGCCGATAAATTATTACAGTTATTATAGTTCAACACGATAACATGATTAATAACAGTATACATTTTATTATTATTTTGTACAAACTTATGAAATACTACCTGTTGCTTTCGACTTCGTCCGCGTGAAATTATAAATTGTAAAAATAACAAAAGAATTTTATAAATCGGACCAATGGTTTCTGAGTTATTGCAAAACATACAAAAATACAAATCTTTTCTCTTTTTAATATACTAGTAGATTGAATATATTGTTAGACTATGATAAAATGGTCAATTTAATTATTTAATTGCAGATTAGTATCATGAATTGTCTAAATACTAATTTACACTATTAACGTAACACGTGTGACATTGTGGGGGATTACAAATAAATATACCCAAACCAAACTGTCATCCATCAGCAGACTATTTACACTAATCCAATTAGTGTGGTCCTACAGCTGCAGACAAACAGGCTTTTCAATCATACCAGAGTAAATATTTTGGTAACATGTCATCATTTATTTCTACATTATAATTTTACTAGCTCTCTAGCCCGCGACTCCGTTCGCGTGTATTAAAAAAAACAAAAGTGAGTAGCCTGTCTTCTTCCAGACTATCCTCTACATCTAGACCAAATATCATCAAGATCCGTTCAGCCGTTTAGGCTGCACACTTTAACAAACATCCATCCATCCTTTCTAAACTTTCGCATTTATAATTTTGAATGACTTCTAATGATGAAAATCTTAGGTACTAGTTTTTTAAAATGTTAAACCATTTTATTATTGACTAGCTGTTGCTCGCGACTCCGTCCACGTCGAATTAATAAGTCAAATATATAGTCTATGTTACTCATTGCTAACGTAGCTTGTTAATGCTGAAAGAATTTTTGAAATCGGCCCAGTAGTTTTTGAGTTACTTAAATACATACAAACATCCAAAAAAATACACATCTTTTCCCTTAAAGTAAACACGTGCTTAATAAAATGGTATCGTACTTTATTGCTGGGGTAATACAGTAAAGGTTTTCGTTTCAAAAGATGAAAATCAAAATAAGGTAAAATCAATACGTCTTTTAAGTGAATGCGTAAGTGTTAAAATATGTAAATTATATTTACCTTTTCATAAAAAAATGACAGTATGTGGAAAAAGAAGGTAAAAACCGTCGTACCCTTTTCATTTCCTACCACAAAGGTTTTCGATTACACTTTACACTTTCAAGGAACTTTGCTGTGAATATCAATAAAAAATCTTACAAAGAATATATGAACTCACCTTCACAAAGATACTGATGCTGCGGATGTCTTTTCTATGAAGCCGTATTTCTGTCGCCATTTTCTAATCAATTTTTCCAAGTGCAAATGTTTTTCCAAAATAAAAGGACGTGTTTTTGTAGATATTATTGTTTGTTCTAATTTTTTTACTGATGTGTTTTATTAAAGGGTTATAAAATAAAACTATTTAACGAATTGTTTTAAATATATTATTTTCCCTTTTATTTTAGTCATAACAAAATGATGTTTTAGAGAATTTACATATAATGCTATTATTAAGAACATCGAACAAATATAATAATAAAATAATGAATTACAAAATAAGTTTAATTGAGCAAATAATTACAGCATGTAAATAATAAAAAGTTTTTTTAAATACAAGCTTAAATTAACATATAGACAAGATTATGACACTTTAGCGTGCGTTTCCACTGCCAAGATCTACAGTCTTCTTCACGTTTGTACGAATGTTTTGTTCAATAGAAACCCACGATGATTAAGCACAATTATATAACATTGATTAAATTTTGTTACTTTGATTTCGGTTACATAATTCTCCAACCTTATGCCTTATGATTATAACAATCTAAGAAATGATTACATGACTATGTTCATCGTTACATAATATACAAGATTGTCGAGATATTCTCTCTTGTCTATATGTCAATTAGTGAGACAAGTATAAAAATATCTAACTTAAATCGATACCGATCGATTAGATTTACTTAAGTTGTTGCCATACCAAGAAACACGGACAATTAGAAAGTCAAACTTAAAAATAAAATAAAATTCGCACATTCCATTTAATGGAACATATTAAATTCGGGTTGGCACAACTATAGAGTAATAACAATTCAAATATAATGAAGTATTTTTCTTTCAGTCGTAGAAACACCAGAGTCCGTAATTAATTTAATTGTATGGAACACTTTGATATTTTATCTACCTAATAGTTCCATATACGTTAATTAACGCCAATTAAATGTGTGAAATACCAAAGAGCAATAAACACAAAAAGCGAAGTTCCATGAAATTTGTCGGCACCTGCAAAAGAAAATATAGTATTATTCTGATTATTGTTGTATAAAAAATATTTGTGCAGAAACGTATCTTACGCCATTGGCATAAAGTTCTTATTACTTTAAAATGTGTCTATTGTCTAAATTCGCAGACTTTAGTCTTTGACAGTCGCAAATTATTGGCTTAAGGCCTGAACCAATAATTTGTGGCTATTGAAGTTGCTATCGTTGCGATCTCACGAACGTTCAAGTTGCGGAGTTAGATTCTTTAACTTATTTATTGCTTAAATAACTTTACTGATTCATATATACTTTAAAAAAATCATTCGTGCAATTATTTCGAAAACCAATTGTTGGTAATATTTCATTGAGTTCTTGAATAATTAATTATCTTTACAATTTGTGTATTTTTTAATAAAGAAAATCGTTGTTATATGATTTTGCTGTCAAAACAATTTCGATGAGCAAAATAAGTTTAATTAAAAATAAGAACAATGAACTTTAAGCTTTCTTTTGTATTTAATGGCATGAATTACATCGGGTACATTTTCAAGCGAGATTTTTATAAAAAAATCCATATTAAAAATGAAAACAAACATGAAAAAAAATTGCTTCATAAACGATTTTTTTCAATACAAAAATATTGGTAATATAATATACAAAATATTTTGGTTATGTAATATCTATTCTATCTAGGCGGAAAATATTTTTCCCGCATTCCCAATTGATTGGTAACGTACCAGCAAAGAAATACTAATTACTTAATAAATTTAGTTGCCGACATAATAACTAGTTGTTGCTCGCGACTGCGTCCGCATGAAATTAAAAAATATGGCCTATGTTACTCAGAAAAATTACCTTTCTAACGGTGAAAGAATTTTTAAAATTGGCCCTGTATTATTTGAGTTATTTCAATACATACACAAATACAAATCTTTCCTCTTTGTAATACTAGTCAAGATTATCTAAATGTACTTACTGTCAGCAGTGTCAGCCATACGGTGTATAGGATACAAGATGACCTCGTTTATCTCTGGCAGGCTGAGCGGAGTCGTGGGCAGTCGCTCTTCCAAAGCACATTGCTCATTACTCTTCAAATATATGGAGTAGATGTTAGCCGTGCATCTGATCTAAATATTAAAAGTTATCATATTAAATTAAATGGCTAGTATTTTTTTTTACTTTACTAAACTAAAGTTAATTGCAATTTGCTTTTTAATTTATTTTCTGAAAATAAATGCTTATGCTTCTAATTATAATTTGATTTTAAACTGTATTTTCAAAATACGCCCTGAGTATGTTTTTTATAAGAGAAAGAATCAAACGAGTGGCGGGAACACCGAGGTGCTTATGAACGCCCATAGACATTCTCAACACTAGAGGGAGTGCAGATGCCGGCCTTTGAGGAAATATTACGCTCCCTTCTTGTACGACTCTAAGATCGGGCGCACACATTTGACTGTTGTGCGATTGTCGATTGTTTCGCAGCCAATTCAACTGTTTGGTTGCAAAACTAAAAATCGAGAAGTAGTAATCAAAGCGAGACTAAACAGTTGTTCGATAGTTTAGTCGAAGGTGTGCGCGTTCATGTCGTACTGGTTCAGAAATACTATCGTACGTATTATCTCTCTCAATCTATTAAAAAACTTAAGTTATAGATGTAAATATCAGAGCATACGTAAGTGTATAAAAATAGACAAAAATACACGTCACGAACTCTATGTGTGTAATTTTGTATATTTCAAAGGAACACCTTGGAATGGTTTGTATCAACTATTTCGGAATGCATTTTAGCGACACGGACTGCGACACAAACCGCTCTGTTTTTGTTTCAACCGCCTTTGTCCCTACTCTTTATATTCAGCGAGCATGCTAACATTTTCTCACTATAACTCGTTTGAATTGATACAAAAAGAATTAGATTTGAAATCCTGTTATCTTTCCTTATAACAGATATCTTTTAATTTATTAGAGGTTGTTTTTTGTTGTATATATTTAGATGGAAAGAAAACAGAATCTTGTTTTTTTCTGAATTAAATAACAAAAATGCTTACTAATTCGTTTTTCGTTGTTTATTCAACATCCCATATTTAAGTCCTCGTTATTTTTGTCTATATCTTCCTTTAATTCGTATTTGAAGTAAAATCGTTTTTTTTTTCGGATGTAATTTAATTAGTAAAATCAAAAATATCGCTACGTTTTCGTAATATTCTTGAATAGCATCAACATTTTATATCAATATTCAGGGAGATGTTTGCGGAGACTAATGGCGGATATTTGAGGGGTGTGCAACCCTCAAGTAAACAATTTGGGGCGTCACAGACAGTAAATCTTTTAAGACAAACATCGCGTCCTATTTTCTGAGCAAAGATTATGCAACAATAGCGGTTGTTATTCCCTTTTGCTTTGAGATACGAAACACGTCTCTATCGATAACAAATAGAGTCAAATCGAACGGATACGTTATTTGCGTCACATTGAAATCAAATTTACAATACGTTCAACGGTATCAGTAACAAAATTGAATGGATTGAAAAGTTTCTGCAAGTCGTAATAGCTCACTCTTTTCTTGTAATTCGGAATTTTCTATCTAAAATCTAGAATTAAGTAATCTTTTTTAGGATATTACTTTCAAATACTATTTTTGGGAATTTTTTATATGATACGTTGGCCACTGAGCAATCGTCGACGTGAATTGGCTGAAAAAGCGAAGCGACCGCTGCTCGATATCCCCGATTGCAGATGCGTTGCGGTCCCTTAATCGACGGAGGAGACACACATAAAAAAAATTAAAAAATCTCCTCCACCGTCCAATGCACTAATCCATTCTCGAATTATGAAACACATACAAAACCAACTTAAACATGGGAATAAACGTGTTATTCAATACTTGTATTTTTCCAGAGTGATGTAGGGGTTGGTTCAGTAATTTGAGTCCTCATTAAGAGTGGTTGAGTCCTCATTAAGAGTTGATAGTATTAAATGTTATTACTTACTTTCATTTTCCCCCTTATGAAGTGATGTTTTTGTACAACAAACTGTATTGTACTGTAGGCGTTCCATAAACTGCCGTTTGACGGGCTCACTCGATGCCACACGTGTTGTTTGTGCGCCTGCAAATAAAACAGTTGTTTACTAAAGTGTTACATAACCATTTACCAAAATAGATACATGTGTGAGTTTATTATTTACAGTACTTAGATATTAAACGGTGTTTTAGCAAAAGCGTTATCTTTAAGTGATTGTTTAATATACTCATTTTGTTGTTCAAATATTAATAAACGTATTTGCATTTCTTTAGTGGCAGTTCTTTAAGGTTTAAAAATAATGACTTTATAAAAATGCTAAACTATAATTTTTATCAAGCTAAAAAGAGTTATTGCGTGCTACGGAATAGTTCAAAGCCCGCAACAATTTTCGAGCAAAAAAATTACTTTGAAATCTTTATGGAAACTTACCGGTTCACTGTTAATAAAAAAGGAGAGATTAGCCGCCGGCAAAGAGTTGTGACTTGAGCACTCCACTTTGAGTTTCATCCCCGCGCGGTAATATTGATTCAAGCCTTCCATCTCTGGACCGGATTTAGGTAAATCTGCAACAAAAACATATAATATCTACTAACTAAATTATAATGGATGGTTTTAAATTAGAAAATCCAACAATTGGTATCAAGAGGCTCCTTAATCTTCTCTACCTAACTAATCCTCGTATATGTATATCTATTCTAATAATATAAAGAGGAATAAATTGCATTTTTGTACGTATTTAACTAACTCTAAACTACTGGGCTAATTTTAAAAATTCTTTCACCGTTAGAAAGGTAATTTATCTGTGAGTAACACAGGCTAAATTTCTTTATTGTTTTCTAATTTCACATGGACAAAGTCGCGAGCAACGGCTATCACATATTTCTGTTTTAATATACGTTTAAGATTTAGTATAACCACGTTCTTATTAGGACTTTCCTGTAGTGAAACCATATTAGTTAAAGTATGAGAAATGTGTATAATTTATTTCATAATCGCATCTTTATTTTATTTCAAATCTTTTGAAATATTCGTGCAATGATTTATAAAGATTTGGTGCATATCCAAGAAACAGTTCTAAAACTAAAAGCGCCTGCAATCTGGAAAGATTGTAATGGATCGTTGCCAGTAAAACTGAAACCACGTATTGATATTTCACAAACTTCAGATAAGTATCTAAAAATAACATATAAAAAAATTAGTTATAACGTGTGTGTTATAACCTTCAACCTTTTTGAGGACACGACTTCCTTAATATATAGAATTAATTCGCAACACCCCTACCATTTAATCAGATGTAAAAAAAAATAGGCAGTAGACGATAAAAAATTAGCAAGTTAGTCAACATTTTAAAATACCGACTTTGTGTAGGACAATATTCCCATCTACAAAGACTGCGATCTCCTGTATCAAAACCGTGTGACATCACAGCAACAATAACAGGCCAATGTACCATGTAACATGTACATAGTTATGTTATCGATTACATAACATTTTCCGTACTGTAGCTGTGTTCACCTCGGCGGGGCACCGCCACACCTCCAAAAACCACACAATCCGTTCACGTCCACGCACAAAACTAGCAAATGAACATTCGACGCATTCGTTTGACATAAAGGTGGATGAAACAATTTCGGAATAAGTGCTCACGGGATTTTCGCGACACTGCAATGTCAATTTGTAGGGATAAACGCGTCAATACCGAATTTGACGACACGGAAAATAATTTGCTACGGTGACCTGGCGGCAATAGACTTCCTAAACTACTAAAGTGTTCCTTATCTGTTCAAAAGCGATTTTGATTTAAAGATGTACTACCTAATCATTTTCACATTCATTTACTATCTAAACTGAAACAGCTTATTTTAATAGTGTTTAAACTCGTCTTGCTACTACAGAGACATCGACAACGAAGCTAATAAAAATCTTGTTTCAAATTGACGTCATAATATTATTTTTTATCAACATACAGACGCAGAGCAATCTATGTATTTATTGCTATTGTCGCGACGTCATCTATTGAGTAGCGGAATTCATATCAGTTGGAATAATCGAACTGTTCACTCTATCTCCATTTTAACTCTATCCAAAACGCACGTAACACTATTTAACACACACGCCAATCAAAATCATTAATACACTATTTATTCATCTGCTTCACAGTGCACTTGTGTGAATCCTTATGTGAGTTAATAGTTATTACTCACCGACAACATACATATGCGCGTGTACTTGCGCGGTCTGGAAGGAGGGTGCATCCGCGGACACTTCGCACGTGTATCGCCCGTTGGCTGTACGCGTCGCCGCCTGTATCGATAGCCGCTGGGCGTCCGTCGTCTCCCGCTGCCAACAAATACAGTGTTAATGTCACATTCACCAACATACATCATAACATACGTCATATAATATTTACGAAATATTTAAATGATCTTAAAACTGTTTATAATAGACGAGCTGTTGCCAGCGACTTCGTCCGCGTGTTATTAGAAAAAATACGAACTATATAAATATCAAAAAGCTACGTAACCCTCGGGAATCGGACTTTTCTCAGGGATGAACCTTAACCCATGTGTTCTCCAGACTTTGTTTTATATCTGTGTCAAATTTCAAAAGGATATGTTGAACCGTTGCATCGAGTAAACATTCAAAAACTAATTTAATGAATTCCACAGGAACCGTAACTATTCCCGGGATAAAAAGTACCCTATGTGTTCTTCCAGACTATGCTCTAAACCTGTGCCAAATTTCATGTAGATCCGTTCAGCCGTTTAGGCTACAAACGCTAACAAACATCCATCCATCCATCAATGGATGATGGATGGATGCATCCATCCATCTCAACTTTCGCATCTATAATGTTAGTAAGATTGCTATACTAGATGTTGCTCGCAACTTCGTCCGAGTGAAATAAAAAAATGTTATTTCATTCGGACTATGTTATTCACTGAAAACATAGCTTTTTAATGGTGAAAGAATTTTTTAAATCGGCTTAGTAGTTTTTGAGTCCTTTCAATACATACAATAATACAAATCTTTTCCCTACATAATATTAGCATATATATTATTAACATATAGAAGTATAGATGAGTATACTTTAAACATATCTGCATACATTTAAACATGCCGACTACATAGATATATAAGATTATGAGACTTATTTTTGTCTTTCTTGTTTGTTGTCCTTGGGTCAATGAAACTGATTTTTGTAATTATTAAGGTATTCTCGCAAAGCTTGTGTAATATATATTTTTGAGTGTTACATTTCACTACGCCCATAAGCTTTAATATGTTATAAGATCTTAATGTAATTTTATTAATACAATAGCTTTATAAATTCGTTCATTTTCATTTGTTGGATATAATTGTATTGTTAAAGTAAAGTCTCAGTTACAATTTGTGTCCGACTACAATAGGATTTTCACAAGAAATTTTAAACAAATATTCGCCGCTGATTTTTGATGGAATTGAAGACTAATTAATTTGAATTTATTGTTGATATGTTAAATGAAATGTACGTTTTTTTAATGTAAAGTATTAAAAAATAGCAATTTTAATTTATTAATATCATTGTAATAAAGCTGCAGAAGTTGTCCGTTCGAATATATTTATTTAAATGATTTATTCCTTACCTTTTTACTACATCACTCTCAGCTAGAATAACCTAATAACGCAAATTATATCGCGAGGCTCAGCTAGTAAATGAAATAAATTTACATTTATTACGTGATTGTCAAACTGTCTCATGTTAAACACAGTTTTATTTGGGTCATGATTTATCTAATTAATTGTAATGAGACTGCTATTTTATAGTTTTTTATAAAAGGTGTGCTCTGTATACATTTGCATTTGTTACTTTAATAAATACTTTAGTGTAAACATTTTTGTTCTATTAAAAGTTTTTTTGGGGCTTTTAAAACTTTGTGTTTAGCTATCTAGATAAAGTCTAGGAAAGTGCTTTTGCCTTTTTTAGAAACTTTTAGTGTAGTCCTAAATTTTATCAAGAAAATACGATCACGATACGATAATGATTAAAATCTTAATGGAAGAGAATTAGGTATTTGATACGTTTATTGACCTCTCTAATTTATGTTCTGTATTATAAGATTGTACACTTTTGTTGTAAACTAGCATTTAACAGTGGTAGTGCCAGCTTTAACATCTTAGCACGAATGGGCCGGCACGCCCGGTGTAATACCACGACCACACAGAAGACAGGCGTGAAATGGAAACAATTCCGTTGTTTCGTCTGATGAGTGTGGTGCCGGAGGCCTAATTTAAGTCCCTTTCTCTTCACCACCCTTTTCTTATAAGGAGAGGATGGGAAAGGGAAGTGGATTTGACGGTGGAGGAGATGCATAGGAAGGGGAAATATCCTCTTTATGTGCGTCTCCTCCTCCGTCGGATAAGGGTAGGCAGCGGTAGCTTCGACATTTTGGCGGATTCAGGTGGCCGCTTGCCCGTTTGCCACCTTATGATATAAAAAAGTACTATTTATAAAAAACGAGCAATTGCTACTTAAATTATACTAAGAATTCCGCGAAACAAAGAGGGACAAAATAGTTATTATGATATTACTTTTAAGTGGATAATGCATACAAACTCTATGACTTCATAAATCAACGAGATAATACGTGGGAGGGAACGCTTTAAATACGTTTTGCGTGCTACATTTTAACCTGAAAATAATTTATACTATAAATATTTTAAAATAATTCATCGAATATGTTTAAAATATGTGAAAAAAAACTCTATCTCTCTAAACGTTACTTACAGTAACTTAGGTTAAGAGGAAGTTAATTTAAATCTTAATGTAACCACAAAAAATACTGCAATCTAAGCGTGTAAACATGAAGCTTTCATGTTTGAAATGATAAAAGGTTCAAAAAATTAACGGTATAATTTAGTTATTGTTCCTTATGCAAACACAAAAACGGTAGTATCTTTTGTCCGGGTCGGACGTAACCTTTGTCCACTTCCGCAAGAGTAATGGAGAATGTAATCCCGACGTTAAGAGTTACCATAAAATATATTTAGTTGTGTAAGTTAATAGGGAGAATAATGGCCATTTTCAACAAACATCCCTTAAATTTAGGGGTCTCTTAAGCAGCATTTAGAGGACCCCGAGAAATTCATTTCACCAACGTTCAGATACACCTAAGTGATAACCTAAGTTCATAATTTTACTTTAATAATCCGTAACCAAAGAGCCACCTATCAAAGAATACTTTAGCGGCTTGTTGGTGACACCCATTGTCACTAATACTGTTTTAAACTCTACTTACATACACAGAAAGATGAAATCAACACGTCCCTTGCCACCATCTTGTTCTGGGGGTTTTCTTTACCACACAGAAATCGCATTGGAAATCAAAGTGTTGACTATAGATGTACAGTCTAGGACATTTATTTCCTATCCATTTTGATAAAATACATCTGCAGCTAAAATAATAAGTCGAAAAATGGTCGTAACAACAACTAATATTAGCTTAATTGTAGCTCTTATGGTGACAGTATTACAGTACGATATTCGATGCTACATACATATATCGTTTAACGATAGCGAAAAGAGTTGTTAACCGGGAGCGAGCAAGAAATTACGTTAGACTTAATGAAACTACGCGTTCACCACAAGTGTGGTTTACGAGTTTAAGGGATTTATTACGTGCGGAGAGTTCCTAAAATAATAAAGAATTTATGACCAATACGCAAACTTGATTACAAAAGAAATTTAACTACCAAGGTCTAGTATATGGTAGTATTTGCAATTATCGCATTGCCTTGAAGAACCAGTTAAAAAAAAACTTTTAAAACACAAAAAACTTCTGATCAAACCTATTCATAGTTTATTCTGAACTTTGTAAACTTATTGACAAAATGCTAATAAAGTGCTTTTATCTATTCTAATATATGTAAATACGTGGGTTGCTACATTTACAAATATAAATTGTATCAGACGTAACTATAGGTTGCACGATTTACTATTACGTCACAAAAAGCGTCTTGAAGGTAACATAAAGAAGTGTAAAATGTTTTAAAAGCAATTCAAACCCATACAAATTTGAGATGTCTAATTATGTTAAGAAAGTTCTTATTTTACATCAACCTTAATAATCTGAGTGTAATTGGACCGTAACTAATCCTATCGGACATATTATATCTTTATTAAAACAAGTTGGTCCCTCTGGCCCTATTCTGCCTTCGAGACGAGCGGCCACGATAATAGAGAATTATTTACCCGTAGTTACACAAACATCTTCTTAACTTACAACAAACTTTACAAATTAAATGAAAATGCAAACATTTTTATTGAGTTTAACCAAATAAAATTGGTTATTAAAAAAAGGTAATGTAGAGATGTATGGATTACGTGAAAGGTGACAATTGAGATAACGGAAGATATGGAGTAAGAAACCTGGTGCGCCGATCATACGTGAGAGGGACAAGTATGTTACAGTTTGAATGTTTATTGTAATGTGTGTCCAGGATTAACTCGACTAAACCGATCTTGATTATATTCTGTACCTTCATATTCAACTTAAAACATACGATTGTTGACTTAAATGTTTACTATCCGTACCAAGTCAGGGCGCGACGCTAGTGAAAATATTCTTACGCAGTTTTCTAGCACTTGTCTATTAGACGTACACATGTCTACAGAATTTTCTGTTACTTTGAAGTATTTTTAGCAACTAAATTTTGTTAGACAATCACAAATATTTGGCACAAGCATAGAGCCAAATTCTAATTCGATCTGGCCATATCCAATTATAGTTTCGAAAACCACAGAGTGTCTCCGGAACACTTCAATGACAGCGGTTTTATACTAATTTAATTAGACTCATTCCAAATTCGCTGGTTAGTGACATGAATAAGTGCTACCCTTCTACAAATGTGTAGAAGCGATAATTCCAATTATAGTTTTCCTTGATACAAAGAAGCAAACTATAGGAAGAAGTAGTGCTATTTATTTTGATCTTCGATACAAACAATCATCTACCTGTACATAGCATTATTCTGTCCCTATCTATCTATTGTTTTCAAAATTTAAAATTAGTGCTGCAGTTAGTAACATCAAGCTAAAAGGTGTCTGTTACACGCATACACATTCGCTATATGTTTTATTTGGTACAGGTGTGCCATTTGCGTCTACATAATCTCAGTTGAAAGCATATATCAATCGCTATTGATTCGTCTGAGTTCAATACAGGCTTATATTTGTATTACCGATATATCATTTGTAGGGATCGTTAAATTTCTGCATGTCATCAAAACGCGAGGGGAATGCCGAGTGCCTTAGAACATCCCCAAGGAAATTATTACATAACCTCAATTTAGTACTAACTATATTACCGTTTTCTTCGTTATTTTATGAACTTCTTTTAAAAGGTAGTAGTTACATATAGATTTATATGCAAAGAAATTAGTTTATAAAATAATATTTTGGTGTATTTTAAAACCTAGCCTATACTTAATTTTTAAAATCTATACTAATATTATAAAGAGAAAAGATTTGGAATTTTAAATTTTTGTATGTATTGAAATAGCTCAAAAACTACTGGGCTGATTTCAAAAATTCTTTAACCATTAAAAAGCAATGTTACCTATGAGTAAGATGAGCCATGCTCTTTATTGTTTTTTTTTTATTTCATGCGGACGAAGTCGCGAGCAACTGCTAGTAATTTATAAAACCTAATAAAAGGTTATGTTTTTATATGGTTTATAAAAACAAGTTTAACTATTAAGTTTGGAAATAAGATAACTTATGATATTTGATGGGGAGGATTGTGTCCCATAGTTTACAACGCCAGCGGTTACTTGAATAATGACTAATGATTAAAAATTAATCTCTGAGTATTATAATAATTACCCATGAAAGTTCCGTAAATCTTATCATTCATAAATTAAATCGTCAAAGTAAATACAACTAAGGTAAGGTTCGGTCAAGGACTCCAGCAAGTAATAAGGTAAGTCTTTAAGTAATGTAATTGAACTTAAGGGTCCTTCAAAGTTGTAAGTGACTCCCCGTGTATTCCCTTAAGCTCATAGGTACTAAGATAATGCAAATTCACGTCTTTAATCTGGATGATATATCGGTGACACTTAAGTTAAACTTAGCATGATGAACGGGCCAATTCATGTTTTCACCGACAAATTGTGATTCTCGTGAGTTTGTAATTTTACTAGACAAATTATAAACGACAATGAAATGTAAACAAATAAAACATGGACAAACTAGCTTATATAAGCATGTATCTAAGGGCGTTGATATACACGTAACATAAAGATATGAAATAAAATTTTGTAAGTTTATTTTACACTAGCTGTTCCCGTGCGGCTTCATCCGCATGAAATTATAAAAATTTTATTATATTGTTTACATTTGTCAAATTATAAATAGCAAATGTCAAAATGACATGACATGACAAACCTTAGCAATCTTTCTTTCTTGATGTTGGCACCAACTTATGGTCTCTTTCCCACATTAGGGTATTTATCCAAAATATTTACCCCCTATATTTAATATCGTGAAAATATATAGCCTAAAGCATTACGTAAGTGTAGGGCTTTTTATTAAAAAACAAATTATTCAAAAATAAGCTGTAACTGCTGACATCTTAGGCAACAAAGAAGTGTGTGTTTACGCTTTATTATAATAAATATAGAAAGGTATTTATTTTGACCCAGCGTTGATAAAGCGTGAAACGAAAGTTAAAGCAGAATTTTCATATAATTATTACAAAAACACATCTTTCATTTTAAGGACGATGGATTGACAAAGATAATATTTTAGGAAATTGCTGTTTATTTAGGACTAACTAGAAGGTGTTTTCAAATTCACTTTAGAATAATTTCATTTGATGTCTGGTTTATGATGTTACTTTCAAAGAAAATTAATAATTTTAACGTTAAATATATACACAAATATTAACTATAGGGACAAGATAGAATAAGCTTTGGGCTTATTTAGAAGTGTTATCAGATTATTAGAAAATTTTCAAAGATCTACTAATATTTTATAACAAAAAGCAAAGTTACTGTCGATGAACTTTTACAAAAACATTATCATCACTTTCATTTTCTTTGAAAAGACAGAGATGCCAATACGCGTATCACAGCAGTAGAATATTAAGCTTATTGTGATTAATATTGTATACAATGTACATTTAAACTTATATAAGGTACTTACGTCAACTTCAATGCCGGGAATTCGGAATATCTTTAGTGGGGGAACATCCCGCGGCGAGTATCGGCAGAACTCTCGATCCCCTCTGTACCACTTCACTGTGTACAAGACCTCTTGCTCTAAATCATACAAGCATTTCATCTCCACCCTCGAGCCCCGTTCCACGGATTCCGGTACAGCTAAGTGGACGTTCCTTAAGCACAGCGTTCCTGGTAAAGTAATAATCAATTTACAATTACAAATTAACTATCAAGTAACTACCTAGTGGTAAACAATTATTTGATTTTATCTTTTATCTTTTTAATTTAGGTTATATCCTAACTAAGTTGCCGTCTAATAGTCTACAATATTTTATTATTTCGCTGAGATGGGTCTTCGCAATACAGGCTGTGTCTATTGCGTGGATTCTGGATTAATTATCTGTATAGTAAGTTAACGTTTGTCGTTTGTTTTTTATTTATTTAATCGAATAGATACTTGGCAGTATATAAAATATTTTTAAACAAAGATTATTGGTTCATGTAGCCTGGTTCAAAAACAGAGTTACGCCGTAATCGATCATCCTGGCTTAATGTTAAAATAACATCATCACCATCATCACCAGCTCACTATACGTCCCCACCGAGGGGCTCGGAGCCTACCCTAATACGGGGTGACTAGGCCATAGTCAACCACGCTGGCCAAGTGCGGGTTGGTTGACTAAAAAATAACATAAAAGAACATAAAAACAAATCTATGTAAGCTTAAATTAGAAACTTCTAATGATTGTTGATAATAATAACAAAACAGAAATAAATCAAATGGAAGTTAACTCTTTAAAAAGCTGCTAAATGTAATGTAAAAAAATGTATTTTCATACGAACCAATAACTTAGAGACATCTTTAAGAATACAATTTCATTCTCTTTTTCCGTTTTCTTAATATATTGAAATAAGGTAATATAACATAGAACAGAATGAAAGTTATATTTTATTTGAATAACTAATATAAACGCAGATGAAAGCGAGTTAATAGGCAATTAGTAGCGAATATGTTAGCAAGAAATTATGTAAGCGGATATGTTCACTACCTGACTGCTGTTGCATTTGTTTTTGTGGTTTACGTTATGAGCATTTAACTATAAATAGATTTTAATACAATGATTATTTAGTTAGAAGATAGCAATAGTTTAATGTTCTTAAAATCGGGTTTCTTGCCACGATTATGGCGCAGTTGCGTGCGTCATTCAGGCGTTGACAGATGCGGTAGTGAGAAAAAAAATATCGTATCTAACGAACATTACAATTGTAGTGCAATCAATTCGCGCGGTAGTCAGAAGTTTCGTCTCTATAGTTTATATACTCATCTCTCTCTACTAAGAATTGAGAGCAAAAATTAATTATTATTTTTTACGATTTGTTAGCAAGTCTGTAATACTGTCAAGAAATGCTGCACCGAGTTTATTACTTCTTTACGAGCATTCTCAAAATTAAATGACTACTTTGACACAGGCCGGCTTCATTTCGAGACGAGGAAAGGGTCTACGAAAATGTAATGTCTTACTCTCCGTGATACGGATTTGAGAAAGTAAATTATCTGTTAAAACCATTACATCGCAGCTGCCTCAAGTAAATTAATATATTTAAGATAAGATTAAACACTGGTATTATTTTATTATAAGGTCCTTTTAGAATAAGTTATTACTCCGACGCCCAATTTTATATAAATATATTAATTAAATTCTGCATGGGGAAGATTTAGTAGAAATAAAATTAATTATGAGAATCTTTTAGTCCAATTTTATGTCCAAAAGTCATACAATTTTCTTTGCCCGACTAACAAAAAAGTAATCTATTTCGTGTACATGTAAACGAAATTTATACATATAAATAAAAACATGCATGCAACTATGAATTTGGAACCAGCGAATAGCAATAATAACTTTGTCGATTAAAAAAATAACGAACTATTAAATTAGCATGGAAAAAAAACATCACGAGCAGGGAATTAAACGTAAACGATACGTAGTTTTTTGTTTTACACAGTTCGTATGTTTTTAATACCACGCGGGCGAATCGCGGGCAACAACTAGTATGTCATAAATTGTACTATAAAATAAGTAAGATTTATAAATTTCATACGGCGTTCTAGAAAATGTTTTAGGACTTTTCAAATGAGAAGAAATTTGAAAATCATCTTGTCAATTTAAATATCTGAATTTTATTTTAAAAAAGGTCGAGTCCTACTTGCTACAGTACCTATAATATTGTTTGTTTAAACAAAGAACTATACAGGGTAGATTATTAAAATATTGCATCTTAAATTATTACAGAGTAACAAATAGCGGTAATACCATTAAAAAATAACGACGTCCTAGACCGCTAAAGTGACTCAGAGATCCACAAAGAAATCTATGAGACATCCGAAGGAATCGCTAACGTAGTCTGTGACTTTGTATTTTTTCCAACAACCTTATTGCTTTTTGTCGAGCGCCGATGTTATTTAGCAACGGAAAAAACGATAGCATTGATGTTATTTCATGAATAAAAGAATAGGAATACTTCAGACAAAGAGAGTATAGATCATTGTTGAGAAACTTATGCTATTACGACCCTTGTACTTCACTAGAGAGAATAACTTGCTGATAAAATATTTATTCCTCTTTGTGACCGTATTAGAATTAAGATAAACTCATCTATCCTAACTGGGATTTGAGATATTTTATAATCAAATTAAAACAGTGATGATGACTGGTGAAACAAATCTTTCAATAATCAGTTTCTAGATCATTAATGCTAATCAAATTTACTATTACAACTTAAGATAACGTGATCAAAAAGGTAGTGATGACTGAGATGACGTATGATAGAGTTATTTGGAGGACAAAAACCTGTTGCGTCGACCCTACGGGAGTAGAATAATGAGGATGATGGTGTAATCTACCATTTCGTAGAAAAAAACGAAAATAAAAGTAAAATTAAGAAAAGACGAATGACGAATTAGACAATGACCGAAATCAATATGTTGATTACTAATTTATCTTTGCTTTTAATCAATATATTTATAATGATTTGGTTTTAATTACTCAGTTTTATCTTTTGAGGTTACAAGCATAATAAAATTATAAATGTGCAAAAGTTAGCTATATGTGTGGGTAACACAAGATGTACGCAAGGGTCGCGCAACGTATCTGTAATCTCTGGCTAACCCCGTAGGTCACAACGCAATTACTTTTATCTCTATTTATTACGTTTAAAGTGTTTACTTCGAAGTTAAGATTCATATCATGGATTTACACATATTTATTTAAATATTACAATAATATAGTTATCAACTTAAACTACATAGTACGCAAAAAAATTATGCGCGTCGTTCTAGATAATTCAAGACTTTAGGGAACAGTCATTTTTGCTCGGTGATAAACGAAACATTAGTAGACAAGACATACATTTTAGAATGTTTTCTTACACGTGTTATTAAATATGTTTGTCTTTAACTGCGAATAGGTTATCGTTAAATTTTATTTTAATATGCTAATGATTTGTTATGACAAAATTAATTATAATTTATTCAAACAATGATTAACGGAAAGGTTATACAAATGTCATTCTGAATAATGTTTTAATATGGCTACACCTTACATTCTCATTTACTAAATAGAAACACCAATATGTATTAATTTACATATAACTCTAGTCTTAAATCACTATAAGATTGATACGAGTACGTCTAAACTACTGTTTTTCTGATGCAGAGGGTTTATCACGAACATTTGCGTGACAGTTTCGAAAACGTATTCGTAACGTTATCGGCAAAATTTGTATGTTATTTATTGGTGTATATTACGCCCGGGCAACGCAAAAATCTAATTTTCTCGCTCAGAGTTTGAAGTATAGCAAATCTCTTACAAATCTATACTAATATAAAAAGGAAAGATTTGTATTTTTGTGTGTATTGAAATAACTCAAAAACTACTGGGCCTAATTCAAAAAATCTTACACTATTAAAAGCTACGTTATCAATGAGTAATGTAGGCTACATTTGTAGATTTCCCATAGTAATCGCAACTGTTCCGCAGATATTAATGATAGACACTCTGTTAACAACTCACTATGAAATTAAGCTATAATTGTAGTATACATCAAGTGTACACTACACTTACATGCAAGCCGGCTCATATTCCGAGTTTCTCTTCCATACATACACATCATACATAAGTTCACAAAGTGAACTCAACGGAGCGATTAATTAATCGCTAAAGGGTATTTCAATCTCCGTTTTGTTTGTGTTTCTTTTTCATTGTTAATTCCAAAGCTTTGTAAGAACAAAAGTCTACAGTACTTCTGCAAAATAATTCTTTACATTTTTGTTTTTATATTCTAGAATTACCTCTCAATGTATTACTGCAAAGTCTACGTCTTTTAGTAACCTTATATGTGAATAAATCTGGCTAAAAAGGTTCACTACGGATAAAAGTGCAGATAACTGAAAAGTATAACGAAGTACTTTACACAATAAGGGAATCCATATTTTCTCTTACATTACAAATAACTAGTTTTACATAAGTTTTGCATATTAGTCTGTCTCTCCCTAACATATATTTTCTTTCTAACAGCATCACCTGAGCAACTTCGAAATATTTCTAATCGAAAATAGTCACCAGCTAAAATAAGTCTACTAATCGTTAAAGTAAATACTAAGAGCAGGCGCACACCTTTGACTAAACTGTCGCACAACTGTTGTGCGTTTGTTGATTGCTTCTCAGCCAATTCAACTGTTTAGTTACACTACACAACTAAAAATCGAATAGTGTACGCACCTCAAGTTTATAGGAATCAAAGCACGCCTACACAGTTGTGAGATATTTTAGTCAAAGGAGTGCGCTCTTACACTTTTTAAATCAACAGTTAAATATCAAGAAACTGATATCACAATTAACTTTTACGTTATCAAAACGACGAACTAACAGCGAGTTAAAAAAAAATTACCTTGCAGAGTCAGGAGAAATATAGTTATTTTAACCACAACACTAAATTTTTTAAACATTATAACTTATTTATACTTTACAAGCTTAAAATATATAATAAATCACTCTTAATAATAACACATATGTATTTTCACGAAATAAAATTATTAGCGCTTTTAAAAACGATACGTGAACTAATTTGGTTGGAACATTTTACTTTGCTACGTAATGTAGCGTCAGCGCGCGTAGCGGACGTGCGTTTGCTACGCGTCTACGCGAAGACTGGCTGCTACGGGGTGCGCGCGACGCGATCTTCACTGTTGATAATAACTACTCTGGTACGAGTACCTCTACGATCATTTAATATTCGGCGGGAATCAATTTGACGCGTTCATATAAGATTTATAACAGGACTAGTTGTTGCTCGCGACTTCGTTCACGTGAAATTAAAAAGTATTAATAAATACAGCCTATGTTACTCACAGATCAATTACTTTTATTAAATTACCTTTCTAACGGTGATAGAATTTTTAAAATCGGCCTGGTATTTTTTACCTGTATCGAATACATACAAAAATATAAACAATTTCTCTTTATAATATTAGTATAGATATAAATTATAAAACTCTAATACAATGATGCATTAAAAGGTTAGTAAAAAGTTATTTAACATTATGTAATCGGAAACTTGTACGCAATGTAGCGAATATTATTCAGTCTCCATAAAAGCTATAATTTTGTACTAATGTTTGTTGCGACAAGTTTTCTAACCAATTGCATTGTGAGTGTCAAATGACATTTACCGAAAAACATAGGAAACACATATCCTCCACTCTTCATGATACCAAAATTTATATCCTTCTTTCACTTGTTAAAATAGTTTTTCGTGTTTGTGAGTTTATTCTTAATTTCACTCACATATGCGGAACGTTACGTTTAAACCTTAAACATGAAAAACATTTCAACTGCATTTATGTTTAAAAGGAACTGCCGCTAAGTAGAAAGCTTTGTTCTAATTTCAATTTAAATGTTCTAAATTTAACGTTGGTTATTTCTGTTACAGTTAGAAATTTTTGACTGAAGACATTTTAGACAAAAAACTAAAAACGAACAATAAAATAACAGGAAGCTTACAAGTTGCTGTTAAAAACATTTTAACTGACGTATTTGTTTTTTTGAGTTTTAATTACGAGGTAATTTTAATTTGTATACATTAAACTCAATCAGATAAATCTTTCAATTTGTGTTATTAAGGTTAAATAAAACTTATAAAAAGTATTACGTGAGAAAATTTAAGCGTATCGTGATGGCGCGATAACCAATCTTAAAGAATTCAATTAGGCTAACGGAAACTCTGAAACTTCTTATCGTATAAAATATAAGAAATAAACAAAATATTACTGAAACCGTTATATGCTAACTGAACACGATGTTAAAAAGCAAACCTATGTTATTTCTTAAAATGGTGACGAACGTTCATTCCGCTAACATAATTGTAAGTTATTAACGTCACTCAAAAGAACCGCAATGAAAATGGAAGCTTAATAGTGTACGCACACCTGAAACTAAACTATCGAACAACTGTTTAGTCTTCGATACCTATAAGCTTATATAGTGGTGCGCACACTACTGGATTTTAGTTGTGCAACTAAACAGTTGAATTGGCTGCAAAACAATCGCACAATTGTTGTGCGATAGTTTATTCAAAGATGTCCGCCCGCTCTAAATATGACGAAAACATATGGCTATGGGCCGCAATCTATCAAGTTGTGTTAATCTTACTTTAAAAAGCTTTTATGGATACGTAAACACCAAATGGTTGGTATACTAATTTATATTCGCATAGTATCGCATTGAATCGCGTGCTATCTCGTACTATCGTGTTGCGTCGCATTTGTCTTTAACCTAGGTAAAAGATTGCATATGAATACAATAGACAATCACACAACTGTTGTCTTTTTTATTTCAAAGATAATGTGAGATATGAGAATACGTTTTATACAAGTGATACGACAATGGAAACACAGTTTCATAACAATCCTGCAATCCATCATAAGGATTAAGATCGTTCGTGTTTTACTAGTTATACGATCGAAATGTCACATCAATCATACGAATTGAAAACATTACTTAAGGACATATAGACATACTAGCTTTCGCCCACGACTCCGTCCGCGTGAAATTAAAAAAAAAGTAGCATATAGGTTCTTTTTTTTATAACATAAGGTGGAAAACAAGCAAGCGGTCACCTGAATCCTCCAAAATGGCGAAGAGACCGCTGCCCATAGACACCCGCAATTGCAGATGCGTTGCCTACCCTTATCTGACAGAGGAGGAGACGCACATAAAGAGGATATCTCCCCTTCCTATGTATCTCCTCCTCCGTCAAATCCACTTCCTCTTCCCATCCTCTCCTTATAAGAAAAGGGTGGTAAAGAGAAAGGGAATTAGGCCTACGGCACCACACTCATCAGACGAAACACGGAATTACTTCCATTTCACGCCTGTCTTCTGTGTGGTCGTGGTATTACACCGGGCGTGCCGGCCTATTCGTGCTAAGATGTTAAAGCGGGTACTACCACTGTTAAAACTCTTCCAGACTATCCTTTACATCCATGCCAAATTTCATCGAGATCTGTTCAGCAGTTTAGACTACAAACTCTAACAAACATCCATCCATCCATCTAAACTTTCGCATTTATAATATTAGTAAGATTAGTAAAATACGAAAACTACTCTATAATTTAACTTATAATATCACTGGATCAAAGGCATCGAACATCAATAGTCTGTAAAAATCGAATAAAAATGATTCTATTACTTATTTATACTAGGCAATGAGTCTAGTTTACAATACATCAGCCTAGCTTTTTATAGTATAATATGAGGGTGCAGCAGAGGATCGCCTAAATCACGATATTTTCAATTTTAAACGAATAGTCGAACTGTAGAGTTCAAAGTTGACTACACACCTTCAGTTTTAACTGTTCGATTCTACTGTACGGTAAAAATTGCCGCACTTATAACATTTTTAGTACTGTAGTTTGAGATAATAATTTAGTTAGATTTAGTAACATTTGTTTTTGTAGCGAAAAGTTTCGAATGTAAGCTTTATTCTGAATGAATATTTAACGAACGTGTCCTATTATTATTCGAGGATAGAAAATCAGCGACTATTTAAATATAACACACATAAAAAAACATACAGACGAATTGAGTACCTCCTTCTTTTGGGAAGTCGGTCAACAAAAATGCTTTTTAAAACATTTCACATTTTAACGTTTTACCCATACCTAGCTCACTTATTAGATTTCATTTAGTTGGACCAGGATACTGTAGACTAATTCCGAGAACATTACTTTGCTGGAGTGGTTTTATTAACTGAAGTATAATGCTTTTGAGATTGTTAGTGAACTAGGTAACAAATTCATACATTACCGTATCCTGCGTTTTCTTGTAATCGCACGAATATAGGAGGGGGAAATGTCCTCTTTATGTGCATGTTCTACCGTATCGATTAAGGGTAGGCAACGCATCTGCAATTGTCAAATATCTATGGGCAGCGATGACTTCGCCTTTTCAGCAGAATCAGGTGGCCGGTCGCTTGTTTGCCACCTTGTGATATATAAAAAAAGTTTGGTAATCGCAAATACAAAACTCCATGGATCAAAACGATTAGTGTAAGCTATATATTGCTCATAGCTCATATAAAAACAGTCTAATAAAGAATGAGAGTTATATGAACAACCTGTCATTTATACGTAACGTATTCCCTAATGACCGCATTTCTACGTCATCTGTCTTGCTCTTGTTTGTACGAACACAAAAACAAAGCTTTACCTACAATCGCTTGCTCCTTAATGTGGTGTTAAGAACGTACGAAAACATTTAAAAAATAAGCCTTTTTACTTGCACTTTGACATGAATTACATTTTAGATGTTATTTAGACTTTGGATTTCCAATTCTACTACTAGCTGTTCCCGTTTCTGTAAAACTTTAATTTGAATACTAGCTGTTGCCCGCGACTTTGTCAACGTGGAGTTTAAAAGTTTAAAATAGGACAAAAGTGATTGAAGCCTAAAACACATACACCTTCTTTCTTAGTACGTATTTATTTAGTAGTATACGTAGTAACAGAAACATCTATGCAAGATGTCAAAATTCAAATGCTAAAATGACAACGACGGCCTTTGCCATTGGCTGACAATTACCGTTACCATGGCAATCTTATTGCTATTGGCTTGTTATTTAATGCCTTTTTCGCGTGTGATTTTTCAAATTTACTCACTAATGTTAATAGCGTGAAAATACCTAGCCTGTAGCATGTCGTAAGTGTAAAAGAGTATTTTATAATAAAAGAATTTACCTTAAATATACTATGATTAACATAACAAAGAAGTGTGTGTTTTATTTTTATTATATCAAATATATGTAGCTGTTTCCGTGCGGCTTCATCCGCATGAAATTCAGAATTTTTTTTTAATGTTTAATTTTTTTTTTCAAATTATCAATAGAAAATGTCAAAATGACATGACATGACAAACCTTAGCAATCTATTTTTCTTGATGTTGGCAGCAACTTATGGTCTCTTTCCACATTAGGGTTTTTATCCAAAATATTTACCCATAAATTTAACGGCATAAAAAAATAGCCTAAAGCATGACGTAGGTGTAGGGCTTTTTATTAAAAACAGTATTATTCAAAAACATGATGTAATTGCTGACATCTAAGGCAACAAAGAAGTGTGTGTTTGCGCTTTATTATAATAGTATAGATATATAGTATAGATAGATAGATAATAATTGAATCTGTTTGTACAAATTGAACTATAAAAACGAATACCGTAAATAATATATTTGAATTGCAGATTACTCTCGTTACGGCAGTCTGGGCCATTTACAAAATGACGCACATTTAGCTTCAGCTGTTTTTATCGTGCAACTGATTCACGGATGTTTAGAATAATATACTTTATCGAATAATCTTTATGAACGTGGATCAGATTAGATTAATCTTACTAATATTATAAATGCAAACATCTAGGATGTTTGTTTGTTAGTG